TGTAATGTTTTAAAAAGTTCCCATATGGCTGTTAAGTCTAATTGCTGCTATTAGTTTGGAAAACAAAATTATTATCAAAACATTACTAATTATAATTTCTTCATGTTTTACCTTTTTAAACGCTTTAGTGTAATCAATAATACACATGTTCATTTCAATCATTCTTTCTGTAAGTGTTCTCAAGATAAATACAGTGTTGTTAGTGCTTTTACCTTCAATAAAACCACACTGCAAATACATATTTCTGTCACACTGAACAATACAGGTCTTATTTTAAGTGAATATTATTATATTATTTCCTAGTGTAATAGTTATGCCTGCTTTTTGTGCTGAATGTGCTGCGTTCTGGCAAACACTTTAAAAATTATAAAGTTTCAGTTCTTATTACTTTCGGAAATAATAGACCTAAGTACCAAGCATTTAACAAAAATTAACAGGATAACTACTACTGTGTGCTGGTTGAGAAGCCACTAGCTTTGTCAGTCAAGCTTGTAAGGCAGTGGAACGGATAAAAGAGAGTTAGATGCACTTAGAGGCAATGATTGAACATACGGTGGCGATGGAGACATAGAGGATTGGAGAATACAAACTGTCTTGCATTATCCTACTGTAAGAAAGGTAAAGGGGGCTGAAACATTCAAAGGATGTTTCTTACGTGCAGAGTGGCAAGCATTAAATCAGACGTCTGGGTAGTTAGTATCCTTTGTATATTATCTCTAGGTGATGCTAGTGTTTTGGGAAATGAGCAGGCAGACAGACTGGCTAGTTCTGCCCCACTTGGTAGTGAACTGATGTATGACAAGCTAGACATTGTGAGGGGCCTCTGAGAGCAAGTGAACAGTGAGGAAGCGCAAACAGATCATTACGGTCTGAGGAGAATGGCGCCGCAAGGAGTTACAAGGAATATGGCCGACACGGATATACAGTCAGACAGTTACTGGTGCAATCGGAATTTCAACTCTTCACTTGCTGCTAAAGATGGGACGGAGGGCTTATGAGTGTGTCCCGAGTGCTATGATGTTGATTCTTAATTCAACATTCCTTCTGGTGATCGGAAGGTTGTACTTGCTTCTCCCTACAGACAAGGCAGCAGTGGAGACAAAGATGAAGTACAGGATACAACTGTCTTTCACTATCCATGATAATTAAATCTGGTTTCTAGTGGTTTCTTTCTGTGAATGTTCTCGGTATCGTCATAGGCACATGTGCCACCCCCCCCCCCCCCTGTCAATATTTGTAATTGTTATATAGCTCTTTTATATACTCTGTTCATCTTTCAATTATCTTCCATGTGTCCATTAATATTTGTATTTCAGCAACTAGTTGGTGTGTATTTTTTTAAACACTGATAGCTCTTGTATCCTTTTATACATGTCTTGTTTTCTCTGTGTTCTTCAGTGTGTTCGCATTTGTTACTTAGCTGCATTATATTAATGTACTATTTCTCTATGTATTCTTTTTATTTTAATCTTGGTTGGTTAGTTTGTTAATCACCATCACATTGGACAAGCCCATCAGCATTTGGATCCAATTTTCAGTATCTCCCTCAACGTGTGGCAACTGATGACACCAGCTCTGTGTTGGTTAACTATTCTTCTCTGACTACCTACATAGCGTTCATGTCTGGCAACACTTCTTTTGACATGAAGTTCTTTTTTATATATATTAATCTTGAATGTGTTTAATTTTTCTTCTAATCTCCATCAGATGTAAAATTCCATATGTCATCCGTTTCCTCTTCTCCCTCTTTTTTTACTCCTGGTATTATTATTATATGGGGGGGGGGGGGGGGGGGGGTCTGTTGTACTGATTCCCTAAGATGTGGCCAAATTAGTGGCTTTGTCTCTAAAAGAAATTTGCTATAACTATAAATTCAGCAGGTTAAATCGTCAGTCTTGTAGGAAAGTTAACATGACTCACTACAGCCTATAGTTACTGTGATCAGTCTCTCTGTAGGATAAAACTACAGATAAGATTTCCAGAAAGCTTAAAATTATGAATCACATATTACTCTTTCTAAAATATAATTAATCTGTTTTCCTTAAATTGTCTTCTTTGAGCAAAAATTAAATTATAAATAATCTGCCTTCAATTTGTTCATTTATAAAAAGAATATGCAGTAAAACTATACATACTTCCTGAAAAGCTTTCTCTACTGACGGGTAATCACTTGACAGATCCACAGACACAGTGTGCACTCGCTGTAGAAAACAAATGACCAAAAACTTCTAAAAGGACAATATCTTTACACGTCAACCACAAACCAACAACAGACTGAGATGGTTTAATCATGTGGAACACACAGAATGCTACAGGATGGCACCTATGAAGATGGAGACATCTTCGGTAACAATCCAAAAAAAAAAATCAAATTTAAAAGAGTAAAGCTAATTTATTTAGAACAGAGAACAACTGAAACAGACAATGCTTTTAGGAAACCATCATTCAGGTTCTAGAAGCTTAATAAGGAGCAGGATGAAGATAAAAGGCAGAAGATCAAGGAAATAAAATAAAATATCAAGTCAATTCAGGTGTTAGGTAAAAGAGTCATGCTTATTTTGAAGATTAACTGTTCCAGAACCAATCAGGTGTTATTTTATGAGAATATATTATTTTAATTAATCGTCAACTGAGTCTCAGAAATTAAAATAACAGAATTATAGATGGAACTGAAAAGTTAAATTAAGAACTGGGGCAGTGTGAGAGAGTGTATCAACAGGATGGGTTCCAAGCAGTTCAGAGGTATTATCACGTCACCTGAAACAAATATAACTAGCATGATGAGATGCTGATACTGAATGAATTAAATATAATTTCATGTGTACAATCAAATATAAAGACTGTGCTAGAAATGTTCTAAAGTACTCTTCAAAATTGTTTTCACAAGTACACACTGAAAATGCTAAAAGTATCAGAGGTAACAAAGTTTGTTAGTGCATTTGGTTCAGATTCAATTCTAGTTGTGGCAGCAATGGAGTTTTTTGTTTTGTTTTTGCTGATTATGTCAGTTATAATGTCAAACATGTCTTGCAAAATAGTCAAATATTTCTGGAGAGGAAAGGTGGTGTGGAAAAAGACTTTTATTTCCATGTCCCACCATATGTTTGTGAGGGCGTAGCACTTGCAACAATATATGCTACAGAACTGCCTTTACCTTTAAACAGTAAATACTAAAATTTTGTTGCAAAAACATCAATTTTTAACCCTTTCCTCTCACTGACCTAAAATTATGGATTCCTGAAATAATCCTTAAAAACAACATTTTAGACAGGTCACACACAAACATAACAATTCCATTTATTGACCAAAACAATGTAAAATGTAACAAAGAATAAGGGAATTCATCAGTTAACATGAATACAACAGAGAATTAACTGGATCAATTTCTGTGTCTGCAAATAAATTGTTAAGCTGATTCATTTTACTTTGTGACCCCGTCACAGGAAAACACTGTGACCAATTGAAAAATCACGACGTCGTAATTTCTACTAATTAAAACACTTTTTAAAAGAAGGCACTCTAATTGTTACTTGTATCAACTTCAGTAATTCCTGGTCCTCCTAAGTATGTTTGCAGGTGCAAGCAATAAAATGGGATTAGTTAGGTGTCTCACAACATGTCACTATAGCCCAGTTTGTATCCCAAGGAAGTGTTGTTTTGTGGCTTATCTGGACGACAGGGCTTAATGTTGTACAAACAGCCAATGTGATAGACGATGACCACATAAATGACATTTCTTGCTCATTTGTACTAATTCACTGCTTATTGTCAATATATGGCATTAGAGAAAGTGTTGATGGTCCATAAAAACTTATTGATGAAACACATGATCGTGTTATGTTTTGAAAATGATTTTATTTAACATTGCAGAACTTTGCATGATTCGTCTGTGCTACTGAAAAAACCAGCATCTACATCTTATGACATCTGCTGAGAGTGATGGAAAAGAAGCTACAGACTTGCCAAGCCACAATTTTAAAATGCTATAACAGAATATAAAATTTGATCATACCTGAGTTTTATCTTGACTGGTTACATATGTGGTAACTTCTTGTTTCGCCTCTTCTAATTTTTTCTGAAAAAGTGTTTCTAGATTTAAACACTAAAAATAAGACTGCTGTAATTTAAAATGAAACTCTGACCCAAAAAAGAAAAACCTTTGGGTTTCACCAGTATGAGATATAAAACAAATATGTAAAACAAGAGTAGATGACATAAATATCAGTTCAGAGGCATCACATTATGTTTTCTCGGGCACAGTAAGACTACAGCTGGAATGTTTACAGAAGTACACAGCTGGAAAGTTTACAGGACATAGCCACGGAAGTTAAAACAACAATATGCACAAGCCTGGTGATAAATGAAACTTAGAAGAGAGTGCAGAGAGGGGGAGGACAGACAGGAAAAATAAATGTGCAAGAGATTCACATGCTGAGAGTGATGCATTTATAGCTAAACTGATGAGTTGGTTCTGTAAGGTCAAATTACAGAATGGAGTTTCTTGGATAGTGTGAGTTGAGGAATCGCTATTGAAAAGAATACCCTCGCGTCTTTGAGAATGAAAACTAAGTTTACAGCTCTGAAGTGGTTTTCTAAGTTCAACTGACATCAAAGCACCTGGAATATTTCCATAAGAAATCTGCCCCCAACCAATGCAGAATTATAATTCCAACACTATCAGTACTAGTTTGATTATGTCTGACTTGCCTTTCCTTTGAGTATAGTGTCAACCAGACCACTCCTGGCTGCTGCATTACTCCAAAAAAATGGGAGGGAATTGTCATGAATCAGCTGTCGCATTTCTGATTACGTAAGGTCTGCTAGTTAATCACCACAATCTCGATCAAATATGATTATAACCCTTCAAAACTGTAATTTTTTGCTCTGACACTTTGACTCACCCCTCTCTTCGTCACTTTCTTTTTTAGATGTGTTTTTGTCTAAAGCTATTCTGAAGTATGATCTCACTTGCAGGCCTCTGACCTAATCTGCAGTGCAAAAATATATTGCCTACAGCCTACTGGGGTGTCTCTTGTGCATCCTAGAATCATTTGCATGGCTTTATTATGAGTATTTGATAAGGTAGGCAGTCCCAGTCCATAATCCATCACAAGAGGATCTATCAAGTGCTGGTACACTGTGAACAGTATTCTTTGCTCCATGTCCACTGTTGCATAATCTTAGCTCTCATTTGGCTCTTTGCTGCAACTGCCTCCACACAGACCCTGAAGGACAAGCTTCTACTGAAGGTGATACCAGGTACCTCAGTTTGCTTTCTCTTGTGATGTTTCTATCATTAACTGGGAGGCTTGGGATGTCAGCTCTAACAATTCTATTGTACACAGAAAAACATAAAACAGCTGCCTTCTCTAGGCTGATGTAAGAGTGTTCTAGAAACATCACATGTTTGTCAAGAGACAGGATACTGTGCATTGTCAGAACAGACTAAAAATCAACAAGTCTTTAGAAACCTCGGCATTCCCTTTCCCGAACCACCACTTTTTTATTTGCAGAAAGATTTTATGCAAATGAATATTTAAATAATATTTAGTATAATTTTGTTGGCGTGCCCTACCAAAGAGAACCCAGTAGTACTCACTTTCTAGAAGACCCTAGAAGTCCAGCTTTCAACCCAATTAGTGTATTTAAATGCAGAGCTAGATAATGTAATCAAGACACAATTAGAAATCACACATACCAGAACCTTCCAGAAGCAACTGCACAGTGTGTAGGTGTAGTGGGCATGATTATATCAGACACCCCCCCCCCCCCCCCCCCCCCCCAGTGTTGACATAAATTGTGGTAAACAAACCCACATAAAAAAAATTATGACATCATTGTTATGTCATAATAATCACATTATGATACCATTTGGCTGCATCAACAAATTCCACACCTATCTTGATGAAAGGAAAGCTGTAAATTCTTTGTTCTGTTTGCAGTTAGTGATTAATGCCCTTAATTACAAAAAAATTATAGCTGTGTACCCAATCCTGTGGTATTGATGCTATTCTGATTAAAATGAAAAGGCATCTCTCTCAGGTCTTCATCACTCATGTCCTTCATGAGTGCAGACTTGACCTGTCTGGCCCTGATGCTGTGTTTCCTACATCACATATTACAGTGATAATTACCCTCTTTGGTTCTCAGTCCATGCCTTGAAAATAATCTCAGACTAAATTGCTTTGGTAAGAATGGCTGCCATCTGTGCAGGTTTGAAATGCACAGAAACTTAATGTACTGTGACTTCTATCCTAGGAATTACAAAAAATATGTGTATATATATATATATATATATATATATATATATATATATATATATATATATATATATATATAAGAGGTTTAATGCTGCTACCTCATTTCTGGCCACAAGAGTTACTCTTGCTCCCTGTTTAACTGCCTGAATAGCTAAAGCCTTGCCAATGCCACTTGAACCTCCAGTCACCTAAAAAAAAAAAGAGTATACAACTCTTCCAACAACGACACAAACAACTTTGTACATGTTTTGAGAGAATAGGGGGTGGGGGCAAAAGAATAAGAAAGATAAAAAAATGGCTGAACAAGAATAGCAAGTAGGTATATTTTAACCTAAAAAAAAAATTTGAAACAGCAAAATCAAGAGTTGAAATACAAACAATTGAGAACTGTTAATTTTGATTAGGAACCAAGATATGGGCAGTAAAAGGAAGCTTTACACAAAAGATCCCTCACTGTCCATTTGCAAGTCTGACTCACATTACCTTATCAGTTTACCCTTTTTCTGAAACTGTCGCCCCATATATCAACAGAATTTGTTTTCACTTTTGTGATTTTTATTAATGTATTTGGACTAAAGTTGTTTAAAACACACAACTAAGAAATGGATCCACTTATAATTGTGTATTATAAAAATATCAAGTAGATTAAAATTGCTGTTGCTGACAAGGTTGACGTCAGTAAATATATTAGTAACTCATATCTGTCTGTTCACATCATTACAATGCAGTCGACAGGTTGTGTTTATTTATTTTGTTGTTGAGTTTGTAAAATATTTTTTTAAAATTTCTCTGGTATCTGTCAAAGTTTCAAGTGTGTCTAAAGAGGTCACCCAATAACTGTTACGTTCTGAGGCCAGTAAAAAAGCACATAAAATGGTCCCATCTGTCCCATTTGAAAAGTCTGACAAACAGCAATCCATCCAAAATTCAACATCTTGCACTTGAAATAAATGCACGAAGCAGTGGCCAGAGGTGTAAACATAAACAGTCTTCTGCTAGAATTGCAATTTATAACTGATGGAAGCAGCAGTCCTGACAAAAGAAGGTGCACATGCATTGCTGCACAAAGAACACCATCAATTCTGTGATAAAAAGCCACTGGAAATTTTCTAAAATTGCAGCTTACAACACACACCTCCAGAAGCACAGACAATTCCCACACAGAATCCCCATATCACAGTGCTGCACCATGCAATGGAACCAGAGTTTTCTTTAGCTCATTTGCTGTCGTGCTAGTTTTCCATGGGATTACTGAGGATAACAAGGCACACTACTTGAAAGTGAGTTAGGCTTGCGCATGAGGCTTGAGATGTTCTTGAACTTGTTCTAATTGTATGTCATTGATCTTAATGCTTACATTACTGTGTTTCTTTCCTATGGTCATTACTTCAGTTTTTGAGGTGTTTATTTTCATGTCAAATTTTGTACAGTTAGTGAGCAATGAATCAACATGTTGTAGTTTTTGTTCTTCTTCTTGTAACAAACATTGGTCATCTGCAAAGAGAAGTTCATTTATACTATCTGTGTTTTGGTTTGACTCCTGTCAAACTCTTACTAGTTAAACAAAATGGTGTGTTATTAATCATCCGCTGATCAGACAGCATTGCAATTTGGTCAAATTGCCTGTTTGGATGACAGGCTTTGTTTTATAGATGGCATTTTTTGTCCTGGCCATAATATAACCAGTCTCATTATTGAACTGTCAGAATGTGTACCTAATTCACTATCAAAATACAGCCAAAACAAGCTTTCTTTAATTTAACTTTTCAACTTGAAATTAAACAGCTCATAAACAGTGAAGTCAACAGACAAAAGGATATAATTCAAGTACAGAAAAGAGTGGTTGTGCTAACTGGAAAGAGAGGCTGTAGAGAATAACAATGACAGAACATTCTTGACAGTCCCTTTTTTGTCACTGCCTGATTGAAAGGGTATTGCTGGAGATCACAGGTTATTTATAAAGAAACATGATCCTTCATGCCAGTTGACTGGCAAGGCAACTGATAATTTGATGATTATTGTAGTTAAACAAGGTTGTTGTGAGATGCAGAGAAGAAGAACTGAAGTTCTTCACTCATTTTGGTGACATGAATTTTCCTTAGGCTTAGCAAACTAAAATCACCTATTTATTAATTATTAGTTCCTCCGAAGTCGGAGTACATCTGCTGGAGAGGCGGGGAACGAGTACTGCAAACAAATAAGCCAGTAAAACGAATGTACACGCAAAACTCAGGTCAAGGTAAAAGCCAAAAGTCCATTTTGGACGAACAACCGCGACTTACCGCCGGAATTCACAGCCGGTGAACAAGAAGAAGAAGAAGAAGATAATTATTACGTTTAACGTTGGTTACAGCATAGCTGTCCCAAGTTTTAGCTGAAACTCCAACTGACAGTGATTGTGCTATACTCAACTTTTGAGTCAATCAACAATTTCATAAAAAATAGTGACATTGATAACGGTTATCATAATCTAGCCGTGAACTGAATACTGCTGAATCAGTGCGAGAAAACAAAACGTATTTTTTTACTATTATGCACGGACTTACCAACACATGTGCGTCACGTAATTTCAGCGGTGGTGGAGAAATCAATGGAGACAAGAGGTATAAGATTATAATAAACACAATAAAAACAGCCAAAGCAACCCAGCCCCACATTGTCATTTGGGTATCCCTGATGTCTGTGAGTTGACGGTAAGTCTGTGTCGTCCGATAATAATTTTACTAACTTACGTTCCAGATGACAACAAACAACCGATACTTCCTGTGTGGAGATAACTCTTGCAAACAAAAGTGGACCATCCCCAGGTGGTTATTGAATTACGATCAGTACGTCTGTATATCCACATTGTCGGGATCTTAGTGTGACTTTGTAATTGCTTATGCAAAGTCTTAGACTCCTACCGCATACAAACAGCTAAGAATACGCGCCAACTCTGATTTTAAAAATGCTTTTTTCCTTTCCACAGTTACAATTTTCCCCTCAAGTTAAAAACACTTTTTACAATTCTTCTGTCCTGACTCTTTTCCATTGCGCCTCTCAGATTCAAAACTTGTACTCGTTCTTTTTGTATCTATCTTTTCAATGCCACATTATTTGTTGTCTTAGCCTGTCCACTGTAGCTGACCATAGCGAAGTTGGTTAAACCGGACTTTCGCGGCGGCCGGGTGACGAACTCCTTGTGGTCCGGGTTCACTCCCGGGGGTAGGCAGAAAAGCCACATTTCTCCCAGATTAACGGTACCTATAATGGAATCAATGAAGGGTTGCGATATCCATAGTACCGAGCCAAAGGGTTTACAACTCATGGTTTCTGGATACGTAAAAAAAAAAAAAAAAAGTAGCTGACCATGACCCCAGGAACACTCGTAAAAATAATCTCCGTGCCCATGTGGGACGAATTGTTCGTTTTGTTTTTAAAGCCCCACTCTAGGTGTTGCCGGGAGCCCTGATATAACCTGACGGGTAAACGGGGTTTCCGGGACCTCTCCACGGGTGATCCTCATCCGAATGGTGACATTTTGTATCACCGGGTGTTTATCGCTCAGTATGATGTCCTGGTGGGGTAAAAGTCAGTCAGTCAGAGCACTTACTGGCATTGATCCCTACCATTCCAGACTTCAGGTTTCTTCGCAAACCGTCTAGGACCCTTATAAACGCTTACGGTTGATCAAGGCTTCTGGAGATTTGTATTAATAGGACTCTTATCATTGAAACGTTAATTATGCGGACTGCAATCGAGGAAGGGAAAAAACTGCAAGCAGCAGGCAGCACTCGCGGGACAGGGCAGATATTCTAAGCCATGCCTTTTTTTTTTCAGAAAGCACGCGACGACATGCATTGTCGGTATTTTGCACCATTTGTCAGTATTGCTGTAATAGACATTTTGTGGTGAGTACCGGCACCGTTGTTTTGTACACAACACAAACAATACGATAAAATAGTACACAAAATGTATCATATAGTATAATGAACACAAGCGATTCTTCTCCTTCTTCTTCTCCTTCTTCTTCTTCTTCCTCATCCTCCTCCTCCACTGAAGCCACTGCTGCTGCTCCCCACGTCTTTTTTTTGTTACGGGGGGTGGGGGGGGGGGGGGAGTCATTTCAGTGACCTGTAAAATTTTCTTTTCCTCTTTTTTTCTGTTCGGGCAAGTAGTTTGTCGTAATGTGTCATGTTCGTGGCAGCCTTGGAGTATGTGTTCTACTGTCTGGGGTAACAGTCCACGCGTGCACATTGCTGATACGCCAGTTTTAAATGTTATGTGCATGGCTACATGTAACTGCGAAATCGATTGTGTCCTGTTCTGAGTCGCAGGATTTTGGCTTTTTCTGTCTATAACAAAGTAATTGTCTCGACCATTAATTAAATCATCGCTGTACCATTTTATTCCCCGCTCGGTTTGTTACAAAGTTCCGACGGCTAAAACCTACCAAAACACCGGGCATGGTACGAGAAGTACAGTTTACTTAGCAAGGGTGAAATAGTTCCGTGTTTGTATAACAGTACTACCTTAGGCAGCCTTGGACCAGGAATCAGACCCATAGACCCATATCAAGGTAGGTTGATGGATGTATTGAATTATCTGTCGATGGATCGATAGAGGAATTACATAGATTAGACAGACAGACAGACAGACAGACAGAAAAGTCAGATTCGAAAGCGGGTTTTGTAAAATAGTTTAAGAACCACTGCGGGTCACCACGACGACTTAACCAGCTAGGTGTTTGTCCTATACCAGTCAGTACCTTACTGTGCGGGGGAACATTTGCATGTTCCTAGAAAACCTAGCAAACCATGATATCTTTTGAAATAACTTATCGATCATACAACGCGTATCAGTGTAAGTGCCGTAATACTGCAACATGTTCATACATGTACAGTTTACAAATAAACACCTTTCTACAGTATTAAGAAAAAAGTGCGAATTTTTTGGAAGATTAGACAGGAGAGCAAAGCTGATTTGAAAGAGCTGTTTTCCCGAATATGAGCAATATATAATGGTAAATTAAACAACAGTATCAGTTCAACCCACCAAGGTTAAAATTAGGATATATGGAGTGTTTTATTTTGTTTTTGTTTTGGTAATTCAATAATGGATATTTCTGCTTATTAGCAATGTTTGGTTATTCAATATTGCATAGCAAATGTTTTAATTTTATAAGATTGTGAAAGTATAGATTGTCAGGCTCAATAAATTTGAAGTGTACTTTCAAACAATGATAGTAATTATACTGTATAGTCTATCTTTTGTGGAATTATAAAGTGATGCAGGATACCATTATTATGTCTTGAGATATATTAACAGCTGATATGCTAACCCCTGTTCTTGTGATGTACTGCTTAATCATGACCGCCTCCATTTGCAGCCGATAGTGGCTTAATCGTTCTATGTAGTTTCCTTGAGTTCTCTAGAGAAATCTATTCCAGTGGCGATGCGTGATCGGTGTGTATGTGTAAGTAGTAGCAGGTAACAATAGTGGTAATATCTTGCTTTACGCGATGCATTTTTGTGCACTTTCATTATGTAGCCTTTGCTCAAAGTGGCCCAGATGATCTAAATAGCGCGCGAGCGCACACGCACGCACACACACACACACACAACTCCGCTACTGTATGACTTAAAAAAAAAAAAAAAACGATTTGCACCGTTCGACCGAACGGTGCAGCACCACCCGATTTACCCTATTTGGCATTTAAAAAAAAAAATACAGGTCACTCGGCTTGGGTCACTTGACTCGGGATTACCGGAGGGTCAAAGGGAGGCTAAGGTGTTTTGAGGTCACCTAGCGGCTCGGATGAGGCTCCTGTGCGGCCTCGTGCTGGAGCAGACAGAGCAGCGGATCAGAAGGTATCAGGGGCGGCGATGAGCAGGGACGGCAGTACGGGGGCCGTAGTTTGGGTTAGGTAGTAAAATAAAGTCTTCTTCTTCTTCTTCTTCGCGTTCACCAGCTGTAAACTCTGGCGGAAGGTTCTGGTTGCTCGTCCACTACTGAACTGCAGTCCTGCTCCAGAAGCTGAGTGTTGCGTGTGCATCAGTTTTACAGATCTCATTCCCTAGGAATACAGACTGTTGGTTCCTTGCCTCTCCGGCAGATGCACTCCGACTTCAAAGGAAGCTCCCCAATTAGTCGACTCGTACGACATGCTTTTGGGGAGGCAGTGGGTCTATTCTTGTTTTCCCCACAATGGGGCCCCGGAACCCACACTGGGGTAAAATAAAGTAAATGGGGTGTTAGTT